ATATCTTCCATCCTAGGCCGGCCACCTCCAAGCAACAAGTTACACTCACCTCTTTTTCACACAACACATCCAAACAGACACTCCTGTCCTTCACCATTCCAAGTCCCCAGCTCTCTCTCCTCCTCCCATCCCTCAGCTCCTCCCCTCCCCCCTCCTCTCTCCCAGCAAGAAATCTTCCAAGTTCCGCACCTCAATTCCGCCCTAGCCCAACCAGCAACCTTTTGCCAACTCTGTTGATCTCTCTAGCTAGCCACAAGTCCACAGCGGCAGCGGATATCACACCACTTGCTCTTCGCCAGTTGCGAGAGGGATCAATGGAGCTGTTCCCGTCGCACCCGGACCTGCAGCCCCAGCTCCAAATTAGTCCACCCCCTGCCACCAAGCCAATGGACCTAGGGTTTTGGAAGAGGGCTCTCGACACCACCGCCGCCGCGGCCGCCGCGACCTCAGCATCAGCGGCAGCAACCTTCACACCCCCGTCCATCGCCAGGACATACCCCTCGGCGCCGGCAGCTGCCGGCGGCGGCTTCCATGCAGCGCACTACGGCGTTGCCGATGGCCACCTGGGCGGGCTGCAGTTCTTGCAGCACACCCAGCCCATCCTCCACGAGGTGCAGGACCTGGCGGCGATGAAGCCCATCCGGGGCATCCCCGTGTACAACACCTCGCAGTCCCTCCCCTTCCTCCAGAGCCAGCTCCACCACCACAACCACCACCACCAGCATTGCTACGACGCGATCGGCGGCGCGGCAGGCGGGCCGAGGTCGCCCGGCAAGGTCGGCGCGCTGCGGCTGGCGGCGCCGCCGGCCAAGCGGAACTCCCGTGCGCCCAGGATGCGGTGGACCACGTCGCTGCACGCGCGGTTCGTCCACGCCGTCGAACTGCTCGGAGGCCACGAGAGTATGTACTGCTAACTGCTTCTCGCGCGTTCAAGTGTTCGTTTTCTTCTTCTCCTGAATTTTCTTGCTCGTTAGCAGCCGTTAGATGATTTTTTTTCTTCTTCTAGCTAGCAAAGTAGGCAATCCCGTTGATCGAATCTTGCATTTCTTGTGCTGGCATTCAAAAGAGCTAGACAAGGATGCATGGGCGTATCCGCATAGTACAGGCTAAGCTCTATATATGTTGGTGAAGGAATTATTGTGTACTGTTTCTTATCCTTCCTCTCTTGCGATTGTGCAGGAGCAACGCCCAAGTCGGTTCTTGAGCTAATGGACGTGAAGGATCTAACCTTGGCCCATGTCAAGTCTCACTTGCAGGTGAGGGGATCTTGTTTAACTACATAAAGTCCATGGTTAGCTCATTGGTTATTTTTAATTGAGCTTTGATCACTTGTGTGCTAGCTCTCCTCAACGTACGTGTAGATCTACTACCACTTCAGATACTCCTTGATGTATGCATAACACACCTTGATTTGCAAGAGAATTCTACGTGCACCACTCGACCTTTAACGCATCATTTCTTGCTGCCGGAACAATATATAGTACTAGTATTAGTTTTAAATGTTTGGTGTATCTTCGGTCGGTCATGCATGTAAGAATAGTCATTCTACAGTTCACTTTCTGAGCAGTAAATTCCCCTCTTGCTCGTACCTCCTCCCTCTATCTCTATCCCTGTCTCCCTCTAGCTTTACCACGACGGGGTGAGGAGAGGGGAAGAGGGCAGCTTTTCAATAAAAACCCGAGATCAGCAGCTGAGCAGCACAAAGATAAGCATCCAACGGGAAGCAAATGCGTGCCATTAAAAAGAGGAACGTCACACACAGTCACCGGAGAGGGAACGGTGGATGGATGACACAGTGGACACATGTGCACACAGGAGCGCGCACACACACATCCATTGATATGAATATGAATATGATACACATCCATGCATGCTGTGCTGCCCAAGAGCAGACGGCCCGGCAAGTACAACCCTGCATCATTTCTCAATAATTAAGGGCTTCTCTGCCTGCACACAAGCTACTAGCTGATCGCGCCATCAATGCCCCAATTGTGCATATATGCCGCTGCCCGCCCCTGCCACCCGTATTTATTGATCCGTCTCGTAGACCACCACTACACACCTTTGACTTTAATACTTCTACTACACTGCTCATCCTAGCTTTATTTAGTCAGCTATACTTGCTGTGTATGCTTCCCTAGTTCATATCAGCGGTATTCATCAGTTGATTGTCTTGCAGATGTACCGGACCATCAAGACCACTGACCACAAACCAGCTGCTGCTTCATCCTACGGTATGATCAGTATTGTACAAGTGTCACCGGCGTCTCGGTATCCCAGTGACAGACACAGATCGACATAGCATTGGATTAGCAGTGAGTAGAATATTTATTTTGCAGGACAAGCCAAGACAATCATCGACATCCCTGACGACAGCTCCTTCGACATCGCCAACACCAGCGGGTCCGAGTCTTCAGTCCAGCAATCTAATCTTGACGGGAACGAGCATGGATCCAACATGTGCGCTCTATGGAGCAACAACTCGAGGTAACAACATACTACTCCCTCCGTCCCAAATTTTTTGTCTTACGTTTGTCTAGATACGGATATACCTAATATTAAAACGTGACTTGATACATCCGTATTTGGACAAACCTAAGACAAGAATTTTGGAACGGAGGGAGTACTACATACAACGCCATTGCTAGGTAGCTTCTTTGTTGGTACTCCTAGTTTTGTATTCTGGTCGATGCATGCTGCTATATCACATGAGAGAACAACGCAGTACCTAATCCTACACTAATATAATTCCCTCAGTGTTCAGTGCACCGGTGATGATCTCGGTTTGAATTTGTAGATTTATGTAGAATGATATATGGGCCCCTTCCCTTGCTACAATTATGGATTGCTCCATGTCAAACTAAATGTTCCTAGCTAGTGGGCTATTAATGGATATCAGTAGCTACTAGCTAGCAATAGCATGCACTTCAGAATTACTCCACACTGCTGGGCTCCGTCTTTTCTGCTATTTCAGGCGAAATGACAGAGCGGAGTACAGCTAGCTATAAGTCTATCAAAACATTCTTGTGAGACAGAAAAACTGCTTTGCAGATCTATATAACTCCAGAGTCCTTACAGGTCAAAAGCTGCTGGTAATTTCCTATAGAGCGCTAAAGCAACAAAGTACGCTTAAATACACGCGTACTACATGCTGTAGTAGTAGCACATATACATGTTTGGGCTCTTCATCTCATGTATGATGATGTCTACAGGTATTCGTCAAGAATCAACTGTCACATTACATACATAATTAATTGATGGATTATGCATTTAGAATGATATAATTGATCTAAAGAGGGTGCTTTTAGGATCAAACCACAGTCTAGCTAGTGCCTGCTTTAAGCAAAACAAACTCTTATTCCTTTGTCTCATTTTCTTTGTTCCTACCATATCAACCACCTCCAAGTGCTCACAAAAAGCACCAGGGCTCTACCTTTGTTCCATCTGCTCCCCATGATGGTGCAATCATCTCTTGAATATATTATACATTAAGCTCTTCAATTAAACATATCCGTCTAGCCATAGGCAGCAAAAGTGCATACATATATACTTTCCACGACTAGAATTAATTAAGCAGGCAATATAGTAGCACTACCATGGAATCTTGACCAGAAGTTACATCAGAAGCAACATGGCATATATATAGTGCTATACACAATTAATCTCTCTTGCATGACCAGGCGTAGCTAGCTCTTGTACACATATCTGTATGTATGTACAATCACATACAAGCATCCAGCCGTCCATGTACCATATACATACACACGTACTGTGGTACTCGCGGACTCTGCACGGCCAACTGTATAGCCATGTAATGTAACCCTAAAGTAAACTGTATAGCCATGTAGGATAGGGTGAGTAGTGTACATGTTTATTTAGATAATGACCGGGGAGCATATGATATGTATGTGCATGTACACACACATGTGGTGTAAGCAAGCATTGATCAGTGTGCCGTACCACATGGGTGAGTAACCAATGCAGCAAGCAGCTAGCTAGTTAATTACACAGCTTTTTACCTCCCATTAACCCCTCTGATAAAGCCAGCTGCTCGCCATTGACAGCATCTTAACAGTGAAAAGTTGGAGTTGCGCGCTTTGTTCCCTACGCCTTTTCCCGCCTCTCCTGTGTTGCATGCAAATGGACTCCCACTGAAGAAAAGATGTGTAGATAGATAGGCCGGCATTTGATTCTTTCATCAGCCCATGATATACAGAAAAGAAGGTGATACTTAATTCAATTCCTTCCTTTGTCTTTCTTTCCCTTTTGCTCGTGCAGCAGAGGGGCCTGGTCGTTCCACGGGAAATCAAGATCAGATGCCAACCCAGGCGACATCAAATCCTTTGAGGTTCGTACTCGCCTTTTTTTCCCCAAGGGAGTGATCATCATTACCATCTCCAATACCTCATCGACAATGGCCATGATATGCTTTGCCTTAGTTAGTGCAGTGGCGATCATTCCTCCTTCCATTTCCCGCATGCATGCATCTTTCCGGCGGCTCCCTGTGTGCAAAGTGTCGGCAGCATGCATTTCCTCTTATGATATATACCGATCGCAATCTGTTTAATCTGATGTTCCTTCTCCTTTACAATCGCAGGACGTGCAATCGCAGTGCCCCAATGTCGTCGCTGATGATGCCGCCGACCTGATGTCAGCTCCATTCCGATTGTCGGAGCTGGTCGTCGGCGCCAAGAAACCGAATCTGGACTTCACCCTAGGAAGAATGTAAGGCCGCCGTCGATTTGTCGACCGGCCGGCAACGGAAGATATGCGTAGCTAGCTAGCTATATGTGACCATCTAGAGATTAATCATCAGATGCATACTCGTGTGGCTCCCGCCCCATATGCACGTAACGTACGAAGAGGAGGAGGAGGGAACCAGAGGTAGGAGCTGAGAAAGCAAAAGAGGCAGGCAGCTGGGGAATTAAAGAATAAGACGAGACCACCGTTGATCTAGGAACAAAGTGCAAAAGGGGCTGGGGAGGGAGAGACATGGGTGCGTGCAAGTGTGCGTGCGTGGTAGAGAGATGGATAGTGAGATAGATAGGCTTTATCAAAGGCAGGCAGGAGCATGCAACAAGCTCGTTAGCTTGCCTGCCTGCCTAAAGGGCTTGCTTCTGGTGCACAACACACACACACACGATCGAGCTTGAAGAGTGTGTGCATGTGTGCGTGCACTTCATGGCATGCTGCCTGATGAGACAGAGCTGCTAGGTTAAGAAAAGGTCTCATCTTTTTGTTATGCCACAAGAAAGGTTTAAAGCTGAGATGCTTATGTTACATATATGCGTGTGTACTGTACCTATGGACCATGCAAGCATGTATTATGATGGATCCACCTGTCTTGCTCTCTCCTAGCTACTCCTATCTCCTAGCTAGCTGCTAGGTTGGAATCGATACCTTCCCTGGTCTGGATATCATTGGTGCAAATCTGGCTGGATTTGCAGTTCATAAGCTAAAGCGAATCAGTAAAGGTGATCAATCAACAAAAGGAGTATTTGGAGTAGTATGTTTGATCATATGTCTACCAAGTGGACTGCACTATACTTTTACCGCCACATCGATGGATCAGTCAATAATATATGGTCCCTCCACCCACCATGCATAAGGCATATTTTCATTGGTTAAGACAAGCCATTAACCAACAATTACTCTATTGCGGTCTAAAAGGAAAAAAATCGCAGTTACTCTATTATTGTGTAGTTTATGTGTCACAAAAATGATATACATTATTACTTATGATTGCACTACTGTATCACCTCCATACCAAAACTTAATTGTTGGTCAAAGCCTTGTCGTAAACAACCGAAAAAGATTATACTCAGACAATAGAGTATGATGTTTTGGACTCATATGGCTTTACTGTTGCCAACTTGTCGTTTTTTATATATACTTTGCTAGACTCTTTGTTAAGGCTGTGTGCATCTTAGCTATGCAGAGGCCGGGTGTCGCTCATTATGCTTTGTGTCCACTTGATGCTACATTATGAGTTAATAAAAGCGCCCTTTATCGGGAAAAAAAAGAGTATGATGCTTTCCCCAGTGTGTTAGTTGTGGTTTAGTTGGTCGAAGGTGGTGATGAATCCTAGTTGTAGTTTAGTTGCTTTCACCGTAGATTTAATTGGCAAAATATAAGTGATATACCATAAGAATTATATTGTTGGATTCATGTTCAAAAGAAGTTTTCATTGGTACTATTTTTGCTAAATAAGTATAAATTATATTTTGTTATGAAAATGTATGGTCAAATTTATCTTTGGCGGGGAAGTATATATAGTAAAAACTTGCAATTGAACCAGGACAGGGGAAGTAATTTAGGTACCTTGACCAATTGAAATGCATCGGAAAATATAAAGTGGTATGTGCCAAAGTTTGAATCGACCATACATCTTTTGTTAATATTCCATCAGTATTTATGAACCACAAGCATGATGTGTTGTTGGATTGACTTCAATGGCATCACGTTTGTATAGCATAAATTGCTGGCCAAAACTTTAACTTACGCATCTATACTACACTATACATTAATTTGCAATGGATGAGTATATCATGTATGACATTGCCAAGAGTATGACCTCCTTTTGTATCAAAATAGAAGCATTTTTTTGGACTTCACACATTATCTAGTATGCAACTTTGACGATTACTTACGGTTGAGGATTTATGTATAATATTACAGAAAGTAATATCTTGAAATAATATTTAATCCCGGGGTATCATTTAAATCGAACCAACTTATGTCTTCTCTAGTTAATTAATGGTCAAACGTAAGGAAGTTTGAGTGCATCTCTCTAAAAAAGATATACTTTTAGAAGGGAGAAAATAGAACAATGAGTCAAAATGTTGTTACTTTACTCTATTTATTTTTCACGGTCTTGGGAACTTAGAATTTGATGATGGTTTTTCCCTGACAAGCATATAGAGACATGCAGTATAGTGTGAGGAAAGTGTAATCATGATATTTGATCTGTCAGATTATGATTCAATGCAGTTGATAAATTGTGTTGTACTCCCTCCGTTTCTTTTTACTCTGAGTATAAAATTTGTTCAAAGTCAAACTATGTAAACTTTGACCAAATTTATCACAAAAAATAGAGACAACATTTATAATACAAAAGTTATATAGTATGAAAATTAATTTCATGATGTATCTAATGATATTGATTTCGTATTGTGAATGTTGATATTTTTTCTTATATAGTTGGTCAAAGTTTACGAAATTTGCCTTCAGAAATCTTTTATATGCAGAATAAAAAAAAGAAACGGAGGGAGTAGTTAACTTGTTTTATAACTAGATGATATCTCATGGATCACCGCGGGGATACGTTACAATATATTTCAATGGCATTTGGTTGTGTGGACATGAATATATGAATATATAATATGAGAAATGAAATTGAAAATACATATGATTAAGTATTTTTTTTAATTAGTGTAGTTGATATAAAATATGATCAGCAAAATAGAGATTATTCATATGCGTGGTTACATGTTGAGATAGATCTTTTCGCATGCATGGTTGAATGTTTGAGGTAATACTACTGGCATCCTTTTCGACACAACCGTCCCCTCCTCTTCCAAGAAAAAGGCTTAGGGTTGCCGGTCCGCCTTGTCTCCAGTGGCCCTAGGGCCATCCAGACACGGTTGACCCCAGCCCTTGCCGGCGGGAGGGATCCTGCTTCATTTTAGGTGTTTTTTTAGTTTGTTTAGGATTTGTGCCCTGCTCCGGAAAGGCCGCTCCTTGAAGGTGGAATAAGGTTCTCCCTGCCTAGTCCCAGGGTTGGCAATGTGTTTAGCACAGTGAGAAGGCGTGTGGAGGTGTGTCTCCGACGAATCTAGTGGGATTCGGTCAGTGCTAGTCTTTGGTGGTTGTGCTTGGATCTTGTCTTCGTTCATGTGTCGGCGATCCTTTCGATTTATGGTTCTTTTGATCTGCAACGGTTGTTGTTCTGGTGCGCTCGTCTTATGAGGCCTTAGCAGGACGACTTCCCAAATGTCTACTACTAGTCTGCAACAAGTTTTGCCCGGCTCCTATGAGGAAGGGGCGCGCCTTCGACTCGCTCCGGTGTTTGTAGTTATCGCTAGGTGGTCTACGGACCTAGATGTAATTTTCGTTACTTCTGGTGTTCTTTCCACTGCCATGACAGATGTTGAATTGATCGAAAGTTTTTTTCCACAAAAAAAGAATATTTGAGGTAAAATGTTTGCATATTGAGAAAAAAATGTTAGTGTGGATCACATATCTATATATATAGGATGTGCTATGAAAAATTAACCAGGTAGACATGAAATGGTCACTTAAGCCAGGTCATTACTAAGACGAACGAGATTTCCTACTACTCCCTCCGGATATGAATATAGGGCGGGGACGGGTTTTTAGGTCCGCCATTTTGAGCAAGTAGTTAAATTGACGACCTAAATTCGCCCGACTAATATTCCTATCCACTACAGTAAACAAGGCATGGCTCTTGCGTCGTCCTTGATATCTCCTGAACAAAAACACTGGCGCATAATACGGGCAAACATGCACCTCGCACGTACGTATACGGAGCTAGTACAAACAAACAAAGCAAACAAGCGCGGAAGCATCAATCGAGGTCCAGTACGGCATTCTTCTCTATCTATCTATAAAGAAAAAGAAAAACGTTTGGTACGGCGGCAGCGATCCTATCCCCCGCTAGTAAACAACGCATGGCTCGTACGCACGGCGCATGCACGCATGCATGCATGCGAAACAGCAGATTTGTCAATTTGGGGAACAACCCTACGAACGCCGTGCATGGATGCGTGCATGCAATTGTCCCCGTCAATCACTCACTCAATCGCGTCACAATATTATACAACAAAGAAGGGAGAGAGTAAGAAAAATCTAGAGAGGAAGAAGGGGGCCGGGAATTGAAGTCAAATCTTTTCAGAGAGGTTGGGCGCGGGCGCGCGTCTGCGTCGACGACGGCATGTCTGCATGGTGTGATTGACGCTCCTTGGCCTTGGCCTGAGGTGAGGTGAGGGTGAGGTGACCTCTCTTGGAAAGCCCTTGATTCAACACGAGCGTTTACCCTCTTCCCTAGCCTACGCCTGCCTATTTTTGTTCTCGTGCGTGGATCGGTGGATGCATGGCTCGATCAATCACCGATCGATGTCCGAGCCCAAGTGTACTGCCGCGCTAGCATGCATGCATGCATTTACGTTCCCAAACCACCACCACCTGCAGCACCCACCGGCCGGGCCTCTTGGATTCGCACTGCACACTATGCATGCATCGTCTCGTCCGTTTCGCTCGCTTTGGAGGCAGCTACATAGCTCTCCTCCAAATTTAAATGGCGATCATGTCTACTGTAGAGCAGTGTGTATATAGCTAGGGCACTGGCCAGCGCCCAGCAGTGAGTCATCTGTGTGACGCATCGACGGACGGCGCATAGGTGTAGCTAGATGTGTACGAGTATATGTGAAAGTGTGACGAGGCTTGCGTTCGAGTCAGCAGTCAAAGGTAGCTTCGTACACTAATTTTTTCTGGACAATACAAACACATTTTGCACAGGGAATATCGACCTGCAGAAACCTCGACATACGTCTTGACAGGTCAGGCTCTGGCGCAAGTGGTAGTCGTCGTCGTAGCTGGTAATCGATCGCTGTTCCACAACAGTCGCGGACGCTTTTGGAAGAGCAGCAGGGAAAAGAAGTTGTAAACTAAAGCCAGTCAAATCCCTTGGCCCCTAGAAAACGAAAAGAA